AAAAACCACCAGGTTTGTATAGAATACATCTAATGGAAGTTATAGAAAGAATGGTGTAGTTTTTCTCCTCTCTCTTTTTTACTCTGTGATTCGTCATCATTTACTTCATCAGTATGTAATCGTTTTTTGGTCGACGTGTTTGATGATGCAAGTACACTGAAATCACACATAAAACATAGACTTTTCAAGAATTCTCATTAACGGGTGTTACAGAAAGATTGGCGTAATTTTTATTTTCAGTTTTTCTCCTCTTTCTTTGAACTCATCTTATTACCAAAAGATTCCTCATTCATTTCTCTACAAAATGGTGTATAGAAGATGATCACAAGGTTTGAGATGCTGTATTAATTGAACAAACATCGAAATGTTCGAAAAACTTAAAAAGTATATTTCGTTAGTATGAAGTTGAACGTATGCATTGTGTCTGAAGTAAGTAGGCCAAAATGTAGCCCATAAAATTATCTACTGATTAGCTATGAGGCGGATTTTCTATCTTTATTTCTGTATTTTTACAAAAGCCATATGACCGTTTTTTCAGCTGCATTTTGGGACTATTTGTACAATGAATATTGCTCAGAGAAAACTGAATCAATCAGGCTCATTCTTGCGTTATTTCGAAGACAAATGTTTGATCTACTCGGCTCACGCGAAACGCTTGATGTAACTTTTCTGAATAATGGAAATATTGAAACTAGCGTATTTTGTTCAGTAATGGCTGTCAGTTATTAACTATTCATTTTTATCACATCATACCGATGGGAAGGAAATGAGTCTTATACCATCTGAAAGAGGATATTTAAACGTCCTAAAAATGGATGTGCTCTCTACTACCTATCACTTTCAAAATGAAGTTCAAACTTCAAAATTATCGTTGGAAGTTTTTCGGACATTTCAATGTTTGTTCAATTAAGACAGCATCTCAAACCTTATGATCATCTTCTATACACCATTTTGTAGAGAAATGAATGAGGAATTTTTTGATAATAAGATGAGCTCTGTGAGTTCAAAGAGAGAGGAGAAAAACTACACCATTCTTTCTATAACTTCCATTAGATGTATTCTATACAAACCTGGTGGTTTTTAATTTATCATCTTTAATAGTTTTCAGAAATGATAATTGTACTTTTTCTTCTTCATCATTTCTTACAAATTCTGTAAATTCAGGTTTACGATCGATTGCATCTTTGGCCATTTCTTTTGCACGTTGAACCTATAGTGAAGATACACACATAATTTATCATTAATATCGATCATTAAATTGTTTACCTGTCGTTCTATAAGTTTCATTCTTTGTCCTTCATCATCTAAATCCATTTTCTCCTTTTTCTCAATTTCTGTTTGACGTCGAATTGTCTCGGGATCTTTATCAATCCACGTTACATACCAACCCTTTTCCGTATTTTCAATAACTGCTAATTCTGTAAACAATGGATATGTTTAATAAGATTTTATTACTATTCTTCAGTTCAGTTAACTCACCTTCTTTTCCAAGCCATTGAACATAACCGGACAACGTTGTCCATCGTGTAGAATTCATGTGTACATGTTCTTTATCTTTAATATATTCCTGATAAACAACATTAGCTTGAATACGTTTAGTGTTAAATTGTCGTCTCAATATCGACATAAATCCGCTATGAAATTGACTGAAAAAATGAGACACATACACAGAAGAGTGATTAAATATTGGAATCATACGATCTACTTACTGTGAAAAATCGGTGATAAATCTACCTGGTTTCTCTGATACCAAGAGTAATTGACGTTGATGTGATTCACTCATTGTATGACATTTAAAACCGTTCTATAAATAAAACAATAAATAATAAATAGCGATAAATAGATTAAGATAAATTTTACCTCATCTCGACATTGTTTTTGACACATTTGACAGTACCATCGCAATTTTTGTAATCCTTTTGCTTTGATACGATTCGAAATCGCTTTTGGAGTGAGAAAACCACCAGTTTTACCTTTACCCATAATGATTGTTCAAAACAAATCTAGAAAATGTAAATTTTCACATCATTTTCATCCTTTATGAAATCACCCTAGTAAATAAATATACTTGAAGATAGGTACTCGAGTAATTGCATGCTTCTTACGTACCTATGCGAGTACTCTGCTACATGAATGACATAGGTACTTGAATTTTTTCAAAATAAATATTCCTTGAGAGATACTCAATTACTTGTTCTGGACGCAGCATAGGTATCAAATTATTTTCCGTTCATCGTTTTGTTTCGCGTTCAGACATATATAAAAGAAAAACATATGTTTATAAGAATGACATGCGCGTTTTTATCTTTAAACGATCATCTAAAATGGCTGGCCGTTTAGATACCCGCTAAGTAATATTTTACTTGCAAGCACCTATGCCATTCTTGTAGCAGAGTACCTAACTCGCTTATCTATGCTCAAGTACATTCAATAGGGGGACAATCTTTCGTTTGTACAACAAATATGTGCACACAAAACATTCAAGTGTTGTGAAATCATAAAATTTATGGATAATCTAAAAAACCCTGACTTAAACCCCGTTATACTATAGCAACATCCAAAAGTCAATCCAGTCAGATGTAATTATCTTAGAGAGTAAGTTGAAGATTAAAATCTTTTTTTCAAACAATTTTATTCGTTCTTCCGTGGAATAAAAATGTATAATATCTGAATCGTAGGTTTCTACTGCATTTCGTTCTCAAACAGAGAATTTTCCTTATTTTTATCAAACGATCGCTGCTAAAATTTGAAAAAATGGACAAGAGATTAGACAAAGTATGCAATTTTTCATGCTCATTTGAATGAAACCCAAACTATAGTTCTATCTACCTTTGTTAAGTAAAAATTCAAAATTTAAAATTTCTTGAGCTTTGCTCCCAATAAGCATATCTCAAAAGCTTTTAATTTCCACCTTCAAAAATTTCTTTTGGAGACCGGTCCATTGGACTGTAAGAGGAAAGGATCTAGAACATTACGTGTATGTCTGCCCATAAAACATGGAAAAATGGTCGACCATTATTCCGTGGACAGCCAATGGAAACAGAAAACATTATTTCCTAGGCGCTACTGCACTTATCTTGCGCATAATATGTACCGTACATATCCCGGGGATCTATGAGTCATCGGCCATCACCCCTAGATAAATAAAATTATCATAGCTAAGAAAAGTTAAGTTTAAGAGAGGACGCCACTTAACGAGACTCCATAAACTGTCAATGAAAAAGTTCTTCTCTTGTTTGTAAGGAAAGGGTCTAGAATATTAATTGGACTCAGATACGCGGGTACTAAATTTTAGGCTGACTTTAGTCCTAGCTTTGCATTTCATCAGGTCTTATAATAGATTATCTATACACTGTCAATTTTATTATCCATATACCACTCTTTTTGTATTGTCACAGTTGACTGCTGTCTCGCGACCTCTACCGCCGACCTACAGAAAACGTTTACTTAGCTGTTTACGTCTCTGCATCAGTAGATATTTTAGATGATCTCTTTGAATATTTTCTCTCTTATGTAAAAAATAATTTTCTACTTTTGTCTCTGGTGATTCGCTTATCCATAGAATATCTGACAGCGATTTTTCCGTCCAACTAAATTGAAAATACGCTTTGTATCAACCAATAGAAAAAGACAGGACGATAAAATCCACGAATTACCACACTTATGTACGCGCTGCTCAAAATTCTCATTAGAAAGCCTGCAAACAACTATTCTGTAAGACCCTAGACTGAAGTCAAGGCAACTTCTTGTCTTAAAATTAAGCACGTTGTAAGC